AATTGAAGGAAATTTAGGTAGAATTTCCTTTGACATCACTGTCTCCTTACAATTATTACTTTGCTTTCTTGAAGACCTTGTGACTGATGACCAAAATGTTTTCTTTGAATGTTTGATCCTTGACCAACATCATGAAAAGACAATAATTCGAAAATTTATATTTCTCGACCAGTTTTGAGTTTTTGAGGAGCCTAGGTTTCCCATCTTCAAACATAGCAACCCTTTTGTTATAAGATCTTGGACTTTTGATCTCAGAATTATACAATTTTCTGTAGAGTGACTGAAATCTCCAGAATGATAAATGCATAAATCTTTGACATCTTGTCAATTTGGACGTAGATAAGTACTAGGAGAAATGGGTGTTACAAGACCACTTTCAAAGAGAAAGGGTAACAAGTCTGAATATGAATTTGGAATGAGATGTGTCCTCTTTTTTTCCTTCTTGCTCTTTTTGGCCATATTTACTGGCATTTGAACCTCCTCTATACCTCTCTTCTTTGAGTCCAACTCCACTTTTGTATTAGAAGTTTCACCCTTAACTTTTGCTTTTCCCAGTATGATCTCTGTAGCATTTTCTGGAATCATACTTGATTTTTGGAGTTGACTTGAATTACCATATCCCCTAACAGGTTCTTGATCATTTTCTGTCATTGCATTGGTTGCACCATTATTCATATTATCACTCGAAGTCTTCATATTTTCTTGCATAATAAGGTATTCTAATTATTTCTCCCCATATATTACTGTAACCATCATGCTCATCAACTTGGACATCTGTTCTCTGGATTCAACTTGGAATTTCCTAGCTTCATCAATCATTTATTTGTTGAATCTTGATAAGTTGCTCTTGGAGTTTCTCGATTCTACCAACCCTTGCTACAATCTCATTCATGGTTTTTATCATTCTCTAAGAAGACCAAGTTAGCTCCAATTTGATTTCGAAAATTCTGTCATGGAATCCTCCACGAATTATTCCCATATTTTCATGATTTAATGCATGTAAATTAGTTTGAAACAAAATGCAAATGCATGATGTAAGATTAAAACTATACAAAGATGCGAAAAATGTAAATACAAACGTAAAAAATGCAAAGATGTGAATGCAAATGTAAATGTAAATGCAAAAGGTATCGATTTCCAAAAGTAATCATTCTTAGAAAGAGTTCCATTCTTCCAAAAGAACTTTCATCTTTACAAGAAAGATCAATCTATGAATGCAGTTTTGCCTTTTTATTTAGTTCCATGATCATGACCCCAATAATTTTCTCCTTTTTTTAGAAATGATTCTGAATCCAGACGGTGAGTATTTGAGTACAACATCTGAATTGCCTTCTTTCTAATTTATGGCAATCATTTAGGGATCAAAAAGTCTCTGCCAAAACTGTCGGTGCTGGATTTATACCCTTCTCCAATATGTCAAAGAAATCTGCAACAACACTTTCCACATGTAACAAAGTCCTTGGAAATATCACTAGACCATACATGGAAAGAGCAAATGTGTCCAATCTTTTATTTTCATCTATATGCTCGAGTATCACCTTATTAAGACAATGCTAATGAAATCTTTCACTTTCTCCTTTTTGTTGAATGTTGCACTATCCAATTTTCACCTGTACCGGTAATCTTTATCAGTTTATTCTTGAAGGATTGAACTTTTGGAGGTCTGGAATAAACTTTATCCACCTGTATGTTTTCAAAATTAAATAGAGCAGTACTCTTATATTGTTGGTGTCAAATCTTATTTTTAAAAGTGAAACATTTGTATGCAGAATTCCGGCAATAGACCAGAGATTTTAAGCAACGACTCATCTATCATTACGCAGAGGAAATAAACCATGTTACCATATTTCTTATGAAATTTCTCCTTGGTAACTATTCTCTAAATATCCCAAATCTCTATCAGCTCTTGTAGATCATTCTTGCTTAAGATTGACATTGACATTTGTGATCATCTGTGATACATAATCCCCAGACAAATTATCTCCTTTCTCCCTTTGTGTTTCTTCAGACTAATTTTGAACCACTGGATTGAGTTCTTCCTTGTTATGAAAACTCTTTTCCATTTCAATGATCGCTTTTCTAAGCTGATGATTACTTGGTTTAATCAACACCTTTCTTTTATTCATGATGATTATGCAAATGCGGAGATGCAAATGTAGATGCAATGCAAAGAAGAACGAAAAAAATGACATACACAAAAGAAAATAAATAAATTAGTATGGGCGAAATAATCAATACAATTAAAAGATTCTATTTAAAGATAAATATAACACCTACCTAATCATGATATCTACCCGATCATGCTTTTATTAGATAGTGATCCTACCCAAACATGCTTTCTACCCAAAAAATTATTTTCAATGAAATGATCCTAACTGCATGGTATCTAGTTCACATGTTGTTATTCAACAGAAAATAAAAAGGTTCATAAACGCTCCTCCTTTGTGTACACTTAATTTGGGTACCTACTGATGGTCAAATGTTCGGTATGTCTATACCTAGTGTGACCGTTCTACAGTTCAATATATGCATGGTTTCAGCTCTATGAGGAAAAAGGTACTTGAATTGTCCTTGATGTCGGTGCTCCCTCAATCCTGGCCCATTACAGGCTCGTATGGATCGATTTCAATTTGAGAGGATACATTCCCTTATGTCCATGCGGAGAAACAATTTATCTCATGTAGATATAAGGTATATGAACCCCAAAGATTACTTGCTAAAACCCGTGCGGAGAAATAAATTATCTCACGTAGGCTAAGTTTTCATCTCAACTTAAAAGGGACGAAGCACGTAAGTGAGCTTATGGTATGCAAATGCTCGTAATGTGTGCGAGGAGGAACATTCAGCCCTTTGACTCAAAAGGAAAACGAAAGCACTCGACAAAACTTTGGACAAATCTGAAAACAAAGATAAAATGTTAGTAAGACAATAATAAAATGAAGCAATTAAAAACTTCAATAAAAGGATCATAAGTAAAGACTCAAACTCATAATTTACACCACAACGACAATGTGTAAACGACTTATAGCTTAACTCTCTAAAAAAAGTCCCCAAGCTATCATAACCGTTTTTCCGGCGGAACAATCGCTTAATTGTTTTAAAAACAAGTTACGACTTTTATTTTGGAAAATGGGTGATTTGGAGTAATTTGAAATAAATTGAAAAGAGTCGCCATCAACCTTTGGGTTAGGTAGGCCGAATAACTAAAAAGGTCTTTTAAAAATAATTTTAAGAAAAATCATTTTTTAAGACAAAAGCTGGTCTGCGTTTACCAAAGATTCGTTTAAAACGGGTTCGGGAGTCGGTTATGCGTGGGGAAGGATTAGCACCCCCACAACGCCTAAAATTGGTACTGTTTCGCTTACACGTTGTCGTAATGGTAGAAATTATGAATTCAAATATCAAGTTAAAATATGATCCGTTTATTGAAATTTAATTAATTTACTTCAGATTAATAACTTAAAGAAAATAAATAAAATAAAATAAGTAATTAAACTTATAAGAACCAAAATAATTAGAACAAAAACTTAAAGGGTTAATAAACCAAAATAAAAAAATTACTAACATTAAATAACACAGGTACTAAAGTGAAAATAATCCAAAAATGAAATTTAGAACTAAAGTGCAACAAATCAAAAACTTGAAGGCTAAATCACAATTAAACCAAATTAAAACAAGGACTAAAACGATATATTTACAAACATCATAGCTAAATTCGAATAATATAAAAAATGCACAAATATATTAAATCAATGACTAATATGTAATATTTATAAATATTATGCACAAAGTCAAATATTAACATAACATTTAATAATGTTGAGTTATGCACATGAAGATAACATACAATATTAATTAAAAGATGCCTTGTACTTAATTTATATATTAAAATGAATAAAACTACATATGTAATTTATAAACAATCAAAAACTAATAATAACTACATATTGTTAAGAAAATATACATACACATTCTAATAATAACATACAAAAGAAATAAACATTAAATATATACATGAGTAAATAAAATAATATATACATATGTGCAATAAATGTATAAAATATATGACTATATACAAATTATAAAACGTTAATATATATAAAAGTCATGTAAATATTCAAATATGCATATATATATATATATATATATATATATATATATATATATATATAAAACACCAATGATAATATGGAACCTTAAACAATATTACAAATAAAATTATTTACACATACGTGGTGATTAAGAAGGCTAAAGGATGTTAATAATAACTTGTAAATATAAACTACAAAATCAACATCAAATCAAGATAATAATTAAATATCAAACAATATATATACTAACAATGAAAATAACTCACAAAACAATATTATAGATTTAATAAAACACACACCATACTTATAAATGATCAAAATCAAATAATATAAAAAAAATTAAAATGAATTAATAAAAAACGTATATACTAAAACATGAATAAATTAAAGTAAGATAGTTAGATCTCAAATATAAGCATAATTATTCATATAAACAAGTAAGGACGAAATTAAAATTATCAATAGCTAATAGACTTGAAATGAAAATAATGAAAACTTCATTAATGACCAAATTAAAATAATACAAATCAAGAGGGTATGCTTCATTAATATTCCATATGAAGCATTAAATTTTTGCTTGGTATTTTAACCAAGAAACCTGCGTGCGTGAGAACCAGAACCCCCTTCCTTCTTTTCTTCCTTCACGTATATCTCTTCCCCTTGTTGGTGACTTTCAGCGTGCCCCCCAAACAAGGATTGATTGGGGTTTTTATAGCCCCAATTCTCACATGCTTTTACATAAAATAATACAATTTCTGGGTGTTTGATGCATCAGACATGCACTTATCCATTTAGTGCCAGGAAACAAAGGATAGTGGTAATTTAGGTATGGTGGGTTAAGATATAATGAAAATGGTGCTCGGTGGAGTCATGAAATACGTGAATGGTGGAGTGGGTGCATTTATCCATTTACTGGTGTTGTATTGGATGATGGGGATATTTTTTCCTCATCAGTTGATCGGTGAGTTTTTTTACAGTGTTGGATGGGAAGTATTTTACATGTGTGAAATAATTATGTTTGGTTTTTGTTTGATGTTCAAAATAGTTTTAGTTAACCATCTGTTTATATGGTGCATCTGTGTCGCAGCACTTTAAAACGATGGAGGAAGGGTCAAACTGTTGAATCCTGGGAGGCACACAAGTCAGCCATCCAAGCTGTAATAAAGCTTCCTTCAGGAGAGCTAGTTTTGGGTACTTCTATTGTCTGTCATTAGTGTTATTTAAGTTATTCAGTGACGCAATGTCACCTATTTTGTTGGTAAAAGTGCTGTCTTCTGGTCTGTCTGTGCAATATAATCTTGCTGGAATCCAGTCTTTTTTATGGAAGTTAACAATAATTATCTGGTCAAAATAGTTTTATCAAAAAAATTGGGGGGGGGGAAGGAGCATGATTCAAATTTCTTTAATTTACTGCAGGTTCGACTGACACAACCTTGAAACTTTGGAGAGGCAAGACTTGTTTGCACACTTTACCGGGCATACCGGTACCCTTCTACCCTACGTTTGTCATGCTCTACTCTTACTTGATAGGTAATTAGGTATAAATGCTTGCTGTGTTTAATGAACTGCCATTACTCAGAAAGAGCATGTCTTGTTATAAAATGGTAGATATTAGTTTGCACTTTGCACTAGCACTCAGGCTTTTGATGGTTGTGTAGATACTGTTCGGGGTTTGGCAGTCATGCATGGGCTGGGGATTCTTTCTGCATCAAATGATGGGTTAGTAAATTTTACCTCTTCTTTCCTTATTCCATTACCACAGATTAAGACTACAAGGAGCCTTTTCTTTTACTTTTAGTTTCATTTTCTTGTTCCTTTCTCTCTCTTTTAGTTATTGATCATGTTTCTATTGCTTAAATACATGGGAGTAATTCTTAATACATTTTTTTTTTCTTTTTTCTGCATTAGTTCCATTATGCTATGGGCACAAAGTGGTGAAGTACTAATGGTGATGGTTGGTCATTCTTCCATTGTCTATTCAGTAGATTCTCATGTTTCTGGACTAATTGTCAGCGGTAGTGAAGACCGTTTTGCAAAGATATGGAAAGGTGATAGTTTTTCTGCTATTTATATTTCTGTTCAAAATAACCAAGTTCATGAATTAGTGACTAAGGTCTGCAACTGTTACTCACGGGATTCATAATGTAGAGTAATTTTTTGTTGACTTTGGAGTTTGGGGTGCTATCAGTTGCTTATTCTTTGATAATTAGCAAATTTTTCTGTGAATCTTCTTTGGCTTTCTTGGTTTTGAGTACATTTTTTACACAAGTTAAACAATAATATAACTTCCTTTTTAAATTATTTTTCCCTTGTCTTCAGTTGATAAATTTGTCATTTGCTATCACCAATCCTTGTTTATTTGTAACACCTTTGGGTAGATACACCTTTCACCATGAAAAATTGCTTAGATATTATTTATCAAGCATAGCTGAAAGCCTAGCCTGTTCCTTAACATCCTTTGGTATATTTCATCACATTGATATCTTTTTTCCCCTCTCAATGGTAACTTATGTTTCATTTTCCCAGAATACTCTGTAAGTAGCATTACTGGTTATAGGCTTTTATCTTTTTTACATTTATAGCTAAACATGGGTCCCGTGCATCACTGTTATTGTTATTATCACTGAGATAAATGTGTCTTATTGCAGATGGAGTCTGTATGCAAAGCTTAGAGCACCCTGGTTGTGTTTGGGATGCTAAATTTTTGGAAAATGGAGATATTGTGACCGCATGTTCAGATGGAGTTACAAGAATTTGGACAGTAGATCAGGGTAACGTTGCAGATCCAGTGGAACTTGAGGCATATACTTCAGAACTTTCCGAATACAAATTGAGTAGGTATGATCATATGACACTTGCCATTATCTTATGCTTACCTTGTTATATTATGATCATCTTGCATTGGTCACCTTTTCTTAGTAAAAACATGGGGCTCTTTTCCAATTCTCATTTTTCTTATATTTCAGTAAAATATATTCTTCTCCCTAGTAGTTCATCTAATTTTATGATCTATTATGCGGTTGATTGCCTTCTGGATCACTCCGGAGTTCCTAAGGTTTTAAACTTTTCTGATTTGTCTGATATGAGTGATATCCATCTCTTTCCTTTGTGTTTGTAATTGTATTAGAAGAGTGTTGGTGGATTGAAATTGGTTGATTTGCCTGGGGTTGAAGCTTTGCAGATTCCAGGTGTAATTCTAACTGCCTGTGCATTTTAGTTTTCTTATATGGTGCTCAGGGTATTCTTATTCTGTTTAGTCTAGAGATTTATAAATACTTAATTTTCTTGACAATAGCATTTTTTTCTTTTCTTTTCATATCTTTGCCGGTAGCAGCTGAATATTATTTAATGGTTGGTATATCTGATCAGGAATAAGTGATGGCCAGACAAAAATTGTTAGAGAAGGCGATAATGGTGTAGCTTATTCTGTGGAAAAATCAAAAGCAGCCGGCTGCTAGGCTGCTGATTTTTTGTTTTTTTTATTATTATTTTTGTTGAATTATGCAAGGGATAATTACAACATTTAATCATTGTACTTTAGGGTATTTATAAGATTAGCCCTTAGGTTTCAACTATAAATACCCTAGCTCATTTAGCTTCAAATCATCCCAAAGCATTCTAGCTTTCTTCCAATACTAGAGAATTAGAGAGTTTCTTGAGAGTTGTTTTCTCCTTTTTATCAAGAGAATTATCATTGTTTTCTCCTTAGTAGATAGAGAGAAGTTGTCATTCCTATTTTCTCATAGTGAAATTCTTCTACCGTTGCCCGTGGTTTTTACCCTATATTATTTAGGGGTTTTCCACGTAAATTTTGTGTCTCTTTTATCTTCATTTTTTTTCTCAAATTATCAGTTGTAATTTTGCTCTATCCGATAACCGTCTTCCGCAACAATTGGTATCAGAGCTAGATTAGAGTGTGTAATATCTGCTTATTGTCTTTGTGGTTGCCACCAAAAGGTGGATCCTCCAACATAAGAAAGTAAGAAGGTATTACCCATTCTTTGAAGGTTCCAGAGAACTATTCACGATAGTGAAATAGTGGGAGCTATCCGTAATAGAAGCTATGACAACGAAATTTGATATTGAAAATTCAATGGGAGAAATTTCTCACTGTGGAAATTGAAGATGAAGGCCATCCTGAAAGACGGGTGTCTAGCGGCTATCAATGAAAGGCCGGTGGATTTCGCAGATGACAATAAATGGAACGAGATGGACGGAAATGCTATGGCAAACTTTCATCTAGCATTAGCAGATGAAGTATTGTCAAGCATCGAGGAAAGAAGACAGCTAAGGAGATATGGGATCATCTCACCAAATTGTACGAGGCCACATCGTTGCACAATAAAATTTTCCTTAAAAGGAAATTGTACACTCTCCGTATGTCAGAATCTACTTCAGTGACAGAGCACTTAAATACACTGAACACCTTATTTTCTCAGCTTACATCCTTAAGCTGTAAATAGGAGAACAAGAACGTGCTGAACTTCTACTTCAAAGTCTACCGGATTCGTATGATCAACTCATCATCAACTTGACAAATAGTAATGTCACCAGTCTAGTCTTCGATGACGTTGCAGCTGCTGTTCTACAAGAAGAAAATCGGCGCAAGAACAAGGAAGACAAACAAGTAATTCTACAACAAGCAGAAGCGTTGACAACGACGAGAGGGAGATCAACAGAACGTGGCCAAAGCAGCAGTCACAAACATGGTAGATCGAAGTCCAGAAGCAAAAAGAATTTAAAGTGCTACCACTGTGGAAAGAAGGCTCACTTGAAGAAGGATTGTTGGAGTCTCAATAAAAACTCCAATCCACAAGGCAATACCGCAAACACTTCAGATGATGGAGATGCTCTATGCTGTGAAGCGTCAACTACCGTGGAAGGCAGAAAAAGATTTGCAGATATATGGCTTATTGATTCAGGAGCAACATATCACATGACCTCAAGAAGAGAATGGTTCCATCATTATGAACCTGTCTCAGGAGGATCTGTCTATAGTTGCAATGATCATGCCTTAGATATCGTTGGCGTGGGAACCATCAAATTAAAGATGTATGATGGAACAATTAAAGTTGTTCGAGATGTACGGCACGTGAAAGGCCTGAAGAAAAATTTATTATCCTACGGATTGTTGGATAATAATGCAAGCAAGATTGAAACACAGAAAGGAATCATGAAGGTGTTCCGTGGAGCGCTTGTGGTGCTGAAAGGCGAAAAGATAGCTGCAAACTTGTACATGCTGAAGGGAGAGACTTTGCTAGAAGCAGAAGCCTCTGTTGCCTCATGTAGTTCAGATTCTGCAATGTTATGGCATAAGAAACTTGGACACATGTCAGAACAAGGAATGAAAGTCCTTGTGGAGCAAAAGCTACTTCCCAGCTTAACAAAGGTATCACTTCCTTTGTGTGAGCATTGTATAACAAGTAAGCAACACCGGTTGAAATTCAACACATCAAATTCTAGAGGCAAAAGTGTTCTAGAATTGGTTCACTCTGACGTATGGCAAGCACCGGTCACATCCCTAGGCAGAGCAAAATACTTTGTCTCATTTATTGATGACTACTCCAGGAGATGTTGGGTGTACCCTATTAAGAAGAAGTCAGATGTTTGCAACTTTCAAAAACTTCAAAGCGCGGGTGGAACTTGATTCTGGAAATAAGATCAAGTGTTTCAGAACAGATAATGGATAAGAATACACAAGCGAAGAATTTGATGACTTTTGCAAGAGAGAAGGCATCAAAAGACAGTTCACAGTGGCGAACACTCCTCAACAAAATGGAGTGGCAGAGCGGATGAACAGAACCTTGTTAGAAAGAACACGAGCAATGTTGAGGGATGCATGCCTAGAAAATCATTCTGGGCAGAAGCAGTCAATACCGCCTGTTATTTGGTGAATCGAGCTCCATCAACTGCAATAGAGCTGAAGACACCAATGGAGATGTGGACTGGTAAACCAACTGATTATTCAAACCTCCATGTATTTGGAAGTATTGTGTACGTGATGTATAACTCCCAAGAAATTTCGAAGTTGGATCCAAAATCCAGGAAATGTAAATTCTTGGGGTATGCTGATGGAGTAAAGGGGTATCGCTTGTGGGATCCCACTGCCCGCAAAGTGATCATTAGCAGGGATGTTATCTTTGTAAAAGATAAGCTACAAAGAAAAGAAGACGATGCTAGCGCTGAAAAGTCAGAGATTACTCATATACATGTGGAAAAGGAGGTTGAACAAGGAGATTCTTCTGAAGCAGAACCAGCTCATGATGAACAAGAACTAGAGAGTTCTGAAGCTCCAATAACTCGTCAATCAGATCGTGTGAGAAGACGTCCCAATTGGCACTCAGATTATGTTATAGAAGGTAATATTGCATACTGCCTTTTAACAGAGGACGGTGAGCCATCAACATACCAGGAGGCAATAAACAGCTCAGATGCTTCATTATGGATGATGGCGATGCAAGAAGAAATCGAAGCCCTTCATAAAAAATACATGGGACCTTGTGCCACTACCACAAGGAAGGAAGCCAATTGGTAACAAATGGGTCTTCAAAATCAAGCGAAATGTTGACGATCAAGTGGAGAGGTACCGTGCAAGACTGGTGGTCAAAGGATATGCTCAAAAAGAAGGTATTGATTTCAATGAAATTTTTCTCCTATGGTTCGACTAACAACAGTTCGATTACTCTTGGCAATGTGTGCTACATTGAACTTACATCTAGAGCAGCTAGATGTTAAAACAGCTTTTCTTCATGGAAATCTTGAAGAAGAGATTTATATGCTCCAGCCTGAAGGTTTTGAAGAAAAAGAAAAGAAGAACTTGGTTTGCATGTTGAACAAATCTCTGTACGGTCTAAAGCAGGCGCCGAGGTGTTGGTATAAGAGATTTGATTCCTTCATTATGTGCCTTGGATACAACAGACTTAATGCAGACCCTTGTGCTTATTTCAAGAGGTCCGGTGATAACGATTTTGTTATATTGCTGTTGTATGTGGATGACATATTGGTTGCAGGACCCAACAAAGATCATATTGAAGAATTAAAGGCACAACTGGTTAGGGAATTTGAAATGAAGGACTTGGGATCAGCAAACAAGATTCTAGGGATGCAAATTCACCGGGACAGAAGTAATAGGAAGATTTGGCTTTCACAAAAGAATTACTTGAAGAAGATCTTGTCACGATTCAGAATGCAAGATTGTAAGCCAATTTCTACTCCTCTTCCTATTAACTTCAAATTATCCTCCAGTATGAGTCCTAGCAGTGAAGAAGAGAGGATGGAGATATCTCGAGTACCGTATGCATCAGCAGTGGGAAGTTTAATGTTCGCTATGATATGCACAAGACCAGACATTGCACAAGCAGTGGGAGTGGTTAGTCGGTACATGGCGAATCCAGGCAAAGAGCATTGGAATACAGTAAAGAGGATCCTAAGATACATCAAGGGAACCTCAAATGTTGCATTATGTTACGGAAGATCAAACTTACTAATAAATGGTTATGTAGATTCTGACTATGCAGGGGATTTGGATAAAAGCAAATCACTACAGGATATGTGTTCAAAGTTGTTGGTGGAGCTGTAAGCTGGGTTTCAAAATTGCAGTCAGTTGTGGCTACATCCACAACAGAGGCAGAATATGTAGCAGCTACACAAGCCAGTAAAGAAGCAATTTGGTTGAAGATGCTATTGGAGGAGCTTGGGCACAATCAAGAGTATGTCTCTCTGTTTTGTGACAGTCAAAGCGCCTTGCATCTAGCAAGGAATCCAGCATTTCATTCAAGAACAAAGCACATACGAGTTCAATACCATTTCATTCGTGAAAAGGTTGAAGAAGGAACGGTAGATATGCAGAAGATCCATACCAAAGACAACATAGCAGATTTCATGACGAAGGCAATCAACGCTGATAAATTTACCTGGTGTCGATCCTCTTGTGGCCTGTCAGAGACGTAAGCAACATGATGGTACAAGGTAGAAAGAATGGTGTGAAGATATGATTGTTCCAATCAAATCTTCAAGTGGGAGATTGTGGAAAAATCAAAAGCAGCCGGCTGCTAGGCTGCTGATTTTTTGTTTTTTTTATTATTATTTTTGTTGAATTATGCAAGGGATAATTACAACATTTAATCATTGTACTTTAGGGTATTTACAAGATTAGCCCTTAGGTTTCAACTATAAATACCCTAGCTCATTTAGCTTCAAATCATCCCAAAGCATTCTAGCTTTCTTCCAATACTAGAGAATTTAGAGAGTTTCTTGAGAGTTGTTTTCTCCTTTTTATCAAGAGAGAATTATCATTGTTTTCTCCTTAGTAGATAGAGAGAAGTTGTAATTCATATTTTCTCATAGTGAAATTCTTCTACCGTTGCCCGTGGTTTTTACCCTATATTATTTAGGGGTTTTCCACGTAAATTTTGTGTCTCTTTTATCTTCATTTTTATTTTCTCAAATTATAAGTTATAATTTTGCTATATCCGATAGCCGTCTTCCGCAACATATTCATGGAATATGAGAGAACAGAAATGGGATAAAGTAGCTTCATTCTAATTCTCCTTAGCTATTTTTTTATCCTTCAAAAGTTTCATCTCGCTTATCTTGAGTGCACTGTTCATTTTGAAACTTTATATCCTTTGAGGAACATGAAAGTTTTGATATTTTTTTTCTTAGTTATTCTGCTTTTCTGATTCATAAGTAGTATTTTTCAGATTGTGTTTGAAATAAAAGTATGCCCTTTATTTTTTAAAATGTTCCAAGACCAATCTGTTCCCTAGATAGTGGCAGAGGCGAAGCCAGGGGGCAGGCAGTGGCCTTGACCCTCCAAATGGTAAAATTGCACTTAAATATCTTTTAAAAATCCGAAAGTATAAGTTAATATGGTGGTCAAATAGCACCTCCCCCCCCCCCAAAAAAAAAGTGTATTATAAATATAATATAATTCAATAGGCCCCCATAATTTTTTTTGGCTTTGCCCCTGTATAGAGATGATGTTCCTGGTGGACGATTTATTGGTGATGCAATCTGTGCTGTTGCTAACTTTTGCTTAACATTTGCCACTTCCATCTACAATTTCTTATATGTGGTTCTTGCTTTCTGATTCAGATTGGTGAAGTTGTTGACGGTCCAGATGACAGCATGAACCGTACTGTTCTTGATGGAGTTCAATATGATTATGGTTAGCAGCTTTTCTTCTTACTCATTTAAGGCAATGACATAAATATAAATATATTCATACTTATGTATTCTGGCTCAGTATTCGATGTTGATATTGGTGATGGGGAGCCTATACGTAAGTTACCTTACAATCGATCAGGTATCTCTCTATTCTTGGCCTTGTATTTTCTGTTGTTTCAAAATTAATTCATTTCCCTCAGATTTTTAAGGTCCGAGCCTTCTGTCACTCTTATGTTGTTTCCTTCTCTAATTCCCCCGTTGCTCATCCTTTGTGAAAATTAACTATGTTCTTTGTAAAAAAGAAGTCGAGAAAAGAATTATTGTTTTTTTGACTGTATCGCCTTTTACTGTCTTATGAACAATAGGAAGCACGTCTTCCTCCAGTTTGTTATTCTTTGTGAAATTTTATTATGAATCAGGCATGCAATGTTTACCATTTATAACCATATTGTTTGTGATGAGGAAAAACATTTCAGGGCCTACCTTATCATTTCTTATGATAAAATTCATGATAGTGAACATGTCTTTTAAAATTTACAAATTGGGAATGCAATATTAACCTTAAAGGGTAACACGACGCCACCTACTATCTTTCCGATAACCCTTATGACACTGCTGATAATGGCTTCTGAAGGAGAACCTTCCTCTTTCCTACCGTCAACAAATTGTGGAGTTTATACTTCAAAATACTGGGCAAAAGGATTTCAATATTGATCCAACATTCCGAGATCCATATACTGGCGGTGAGTATAATAATTTTTTATCCCTGTTGGAAGCCTTTTATGAGGATCTTACTCTTGCTGGCTAATCGTTAGCATAGTTACATAAATCGCTCATTTGGCCACGATCTACGTACTGAACGTTGCGATCCAAAACGCGGTACGAACGCGTTCGGATCGTTTCAAAATTGCGATTGGATCGTTTCAAAATCGCGATTCGGTACATCGTAGTTTTGCAGCAGGGATAAGAGGAGATGCAATCAAAAAAATAAAGGGATTGGGGGTTTGAGAGAAAAAATCAGAGGAGAATAAGGGGAGAGGGGAAACCGTTTCAAAACAGCTCCTCGTCGGGGCTGATGATCGATGATCGAAGCCTTTTGGGTTTCCTTCTCAGGTGATGGAAGAGAAGAGGGTTCGAAGTTGCTCGGGTCTGGGGCTGTGAAGACTTTCGGCCATGCGGGTGTGAGGAGTAGAGGATGAAGAAGAGAAGAGGTTCAAAACGGCGTAGGGGAAGGGATTAGGTTTAGCATAATTATGATCTATTTTTAGGTTAAATTTTAAAGGCTTTAGATAGTTTGGTTAAACACTGCCGTTTAATTGGGGTCCAGGGTGGTCCATTTTTGTTCGCGTGGGTTTATTCCTAAAGGAGCCATGCTCATTTTTTATTCAATTTATTTTAGTCCTTAAATCGGATTTATGCATATTAGATTTTGAGTTTTGAATTATTTTGTTCCTAAAGGAGCCATGCATAATTGATCTCTATCTAAGAAACTGGTACATCGTACCAATTTATATGGTACATTGTACCGGAGCGATCCTAAAGAAGTCTACCCCCCCTCATACAGAATTTTAGGGACCTAGCGAATTGCGATCCCGTTCCACGTTCCCGTACCGAGCGTACCGCGATCCATGTGACTATGATCGTTAGCAATGATCAACGTCTTGTGTTTTTCGTTGCAGCGAGTGCTTATGTACCTGGACAGCCATCAAATACTTCTGGTTTGTAATTGCTTAAAAAATTAAATTACATATAGATACTTCTTATTGTTTCTTTTTCTAGCAGATCTGCTCTCAACTCTACCAACAGCAGAATTTCTTTTGAGCCTTGATACATATACTCGTTAATTTTGTATGCAGGTATATCGGCTAAACCCACCTTCAAGCATATCCCAAAGGTTTGTTGCTACTCACTTTCTTTAAGCACATAACACATACAAGTACTAAGTAGATGTTAAAATCTAACTCGTGTCTTATCTACTAGAAGGATATTCTTCTAGATGGAATTGATTGCTTAAAATACATATCTTTGTTTTGGTTAACAATGCTGAATATTCTTGCATTCCACACCTATGTGTAACTATCATTACTGCATCTATTAGCTGTTAAAATCTAACTCGTTTCTTCTCTCCTAGAAGGATATCCTTCTAGATGGAATTGATTGCTTAAAATACGTCAAAGAACTATATCAAAGCTTTTGTTTTGGTTAACATTGTTGAGTATTCTTGCACTCCACACCTATGTGTAAACTATCATTATTGCATCTCTTAGCTGTTTTTAACCTTCTAGTTCCGATGAGATCTTGTTTTAGATTATTCTCTATTTTTTATTCCAGAGGGGAATGCTGGTTTTTGATGCGGCTCAATTTGATGGCATCCTCAAAAAGATTTCAGAATTCAACAACACTCTACTGGCTGACTCGGTAGATTCTGCAATCAATCATTTTATTTATTTATTTACATTTATGCATATTTTTTTCTATGATAGTATCATGTTGCACCAATATATTCTTCATCATATTTTCTCACTGTTTAACTTTTGATTCATCTTATACATCATTTTGTTATGTGATAGCTCATTCTCATATATCAGACCCTAATGGTTTCCTTAATAGTCTTCATCCCTGGTTTTAGATTTATCCTTTGGTTTCAAAGAGACAAGTTTTAACTAGCTACCTAATATTCTGTATGCATTACTTTATTTATCTGGGACCTGCCTTGTTTCCTTATGCTGCCGCCTTCTGTACCATTGTTATCATTGCTGTTCTCTTATATTGAGTTTCCCATATAATGGATCAATTGACATTCTCGTGAAGGAAAAAAAGGACTTGTCTCTGACAGAGCCGAAGATATCTAGACTGGGCGCTATTGTTAAAATTCTGAAGGACACATCACACTACCATTCGAGCACGTTTGCTGATGTTGACATTGCCTTGTTGCTGAAATTGCTGAAATCATTGCCGCTTGCAATGATATTTCCTGGTTAGTGTGGAGAAGCTTTTAAGCTTAATCGTTTGTGGTCTCTTATTTATATTGTTTCTTCGGTATGGGGGTGTTTTTTGTTTGTGGCCTCTTATTTAAATTGTTCCTTTGGTATTGGGGTGTTATTCTAATTTAAGCAACACTCTATTTGAAAAGCTGATTTTGTTTACCATCCTTTGTTTGACTTTTGATCTTAGAGAGCTCTATTCTTGTTTATGTCAGCTATAGTCTTCCTTAAATGTTTCAAATTCATTATTTCACCGTTCCAGTGGCTTGCTTCTATATCTGCAGTTATTGACATTCTGAGGATGATTGTCCTGCACCCTGATGGGGCAACTGTACTTCTCAGGCATGTTGAAGTCAATGGTACGTAGCTTAAAAATTGTCCTGTATTACTATACCTTTTTTTGAAAGGTAATTGTTGCAACTGGAAAAGTCCCTCGAAACCTATATTTTAGCCAAAGAACTATATATGAATCTATCCTAATTTTATTTGACAATGCTCCAATGAACAGGTTAGCTCCTATTTTATTGATGAAACCTCTATGGACTGCTTTATAAACTAGTTGGTCTGAGTTGGACCTCTAGTTGCTCTGGCATAAACATCTCGTTTAAAATCTATACATCAGATAGTAGATCATGTTGTGTGCAACTGTTTTTCTTTGTTATATCCTATATTAAGTTCTAACCTCTAATTTATGACCTGAACTAGATGTGGTAATGGAAATGATTATGAAAGTCACTACCGAACCTGCAGTTCCAGCAAATTTTTTAACCAGTATCCGTGCTGTAACTAATATTTTCAAAAATTCAAGCTACTATTTATGGCTGCAAAAGCATCGATGTGATGTAAGTTTCCCTCTATTAACCTTTCAAATTTTTTAACTTGGCCTTCTGAGTACTGAGTAGGGATATTGAACTCCTTACATAACTTGTCGTTGATGTGAAAATAATGATCATGTGTGCCTTGATGGATGTTTTATATCTACGAATTCGGTATTGATTTTAGAGGGTTTATTTTCTGCTATTCTTGCAGATTCTTGATGCATTTTTAAGTTGTCTTGCATCTCCAAACAAGAATTTACAGTTGGCTTATTCTACACTGATACTAAAGTAAGCATTCCGTTTATGTAAACATGCATACATGGATTTGTTCAAATGAAACCATTTGAGACAGTTTAATGGTTGTGCCGCATCTTTTAAATATTGTTTGTCCTAAAATTTAATAGTCGACCTTTCCTTACTTTTTGTAACTTTTGTACTTCTATGGGTTTTGACATTTGAAGAGGTTAGGGGTGGGGGTGTTACTACTATATTGCTGGCTATTTTGTGTTGCTTTGTCACTAAAATATCCTTATAAATTGCTTTTATTGGTCTATTGCTTGATTCATGTTTTTATTTTTTAATGATAATCACAATGGATCACTTTCTCTGATGTAAGTAATCATGGGTGTGCTTCACAGTTATGCAGTGCTGCTAATTGAAAAGAAGGATGAAGAAGGTCAATCCCATGTTCTTTCAGCAGCTTTAGAGGTTATCCTTGTTCTATTATTCCCTAGTGTTGGAATTGAATCCCGTATTTCCATAATAGATTTCCGTTTTGATTTCTGTTCTCCAAGAATTCAATCATGCTTGTAGCCGTGGATTACACTGATAGTTTGTTTAATGACTATTTCAGCCATGTGAATCCTGAACTTTATTCATTGTATTGTCATCTGGCACAGATTGCTGAGCAGGAAAATCTAGAAGTTGATTCAAGATTTCGAGCTTTAGTTGCCATTGGGTCATTGGTATTGTCTTCTATCTCCAATTTCTTACCTTCAGCATGGTTGTTTTGATCGACCCTGTTGTCATTCGGATTTGTCATGCACTGCAGCATAACAGAATTCCCCCCAAAAAAACATTGCTTTTAATATTAAACACTTTGTTCCTTTCCACTTGATTAGGCTATAATAATGATCCTTCTTTTTCTTGGCTTGTTTGGTTTTAAAATGCTATAATATATGCATTTTTTTTTTGTTTCATCTTATAGGAAATAAAATATTTTTAAAACTATAGCAACTTTCTTTGAAGAAACATGCAATAAAATTTTCAAACTATTTTTAAATGTGTATTTTCGTATAATGCAAAGCAGGTCTAAGTGGAACCGGTGAGCTTCTTGGATTATAATCAATCATATTTTTACTTATTGTTGCTTTACTTGATTCACCTTTTTATTTTCCTTGTAATTTTGACTTTTTTGATAAAACCAAATCTTTCATGCAGATGCTCGAGGGTCTGGTGAAAAAACTAGCAATGGACTTTGATGTTATGAACATTGCCAAAGTAGCAAAGGCTTCTGAGGATGTCTGCCGCAGATTTTCTTGTTTTTACATTGTTGTTTAGGGGATGGTAGACAGCCGGGGTTGATCTTTCTTGGCTCATTTTTTCAGAAAAACAGGCAAAGCAAATGATGCAAAATGGATAGAATTGTTGCTTTTCATTTGATTAATTATGCGTAGTTCACACCCAGAAAAATTGGTGACATGAATGGACACACACATAGTTCAATACTTCCGAATTTCTGCTTCGTACATTTACCATTTTTCTTTAGATACGAAGAAGGTAAAATTTAAACTGACATCAGGCTGTAAAAGGATGTATTTTGAAATGGTCATAATAGCATACACTTCATGCATTCCTTTATTTACAAATACATGCAGGGATGGACGTATGATTTTATGTTAGAAATGGTGAACTTATAACATTTTAGAGAGGGGGCGAAAATAGATTTTCAACAGAAAATACATAGAAAATATCTAAATTATATAGGAATTTAAAACTTTTAGGAGGCGGCCGACCCCCTCTAAGTCCATCTCTGTTTCAAATACGAGCGTATCAAATATAGATTATGATATCATAATTTAAAAAATTAATGTATAATACTCTTTTATTATATATATATATAAAGTAATTAATTTTAATAAAAATAAAAAATATTTAAAATTACAATGAATGTTTACAACCATAATCAAAATTAGCTATTTAAGATCATACAAGGAAAATATTAAAATCTAACAAAAAAAAAAGCTTGAACAAAAGATAAATAAGAACAAAATTTCTGAATTAACAAATGAACCATAAAAATGGATTAAACTATTGAAAGATTACCAATAAGCCACAAATTAGAATCGAGTGATGTGAGAAAATTATCTACGAATGCAAATTATGTATCTAAAACCGATTCGAGAGTCTAAAGCAGGGAAGATCAATGTAATAGTAAATAAGCGTCATCTTAATCAATCGTAGAGATGTCTAATCGAACCCTGAGAAAAAAATAAACAGAAATAACTATCAAACAATCGAAAACATGCCATAAAGATAGGGTTATGAAAAATTAAAAGAAAAATAAAGATGTAGTATAAAAAAGTAAACAAGAAAAATATAACAATATCGTTAATGGCGATCAACATCAAGATTAATATCGTTACCTATCAATTAAAAATGAAAAAAATAAGCCACGTTTAAGGAAAACCTTTACAAAGTTTTGGTACGCTTAGAATGGATGAATTTAATAAGTTTAGTACCTTTCATCGCGTCGCTTTTATCACTAATGATCATCAACTGCTACTCGTTTTAGTAACATTATAAATTGTATCATCTTATAATGAAAGTTATAAAAAAATTATAAATCGTACCATCTTGTAATAAAATTTTAATTTCAATCATACCTAATCTCATTTTTATTTCATATTTAAGTTAGTTGCTTTCGTTAGCGAATTGTAATTCCAATTAATAACATAAGATATAATTACTTAGGATATCCTAAACTATGACTTTCTTTTTAAATTGGTCCCTAACTTTAAAACATTCTATATCAATTCTCAAACTATAATCTCCATTATAAATTAGCCCCTAAACTTTAAAATATTCTATATTAGTTTTTAAACTATCCATATCATTTCATTTCGATACTTCTGTTAATGTGTCATTAATTCTATTGGTTAAAAAATCAATATATTTTTTAAGGTCTTGAGAATTGAACCAATGACATTCTAAAAATTCTCAAACCTTCAAAAACAAATTAGTTTTTTAAAATGTCACTGTTTCAATTCATATGACTTTTAAAAACTAATAAAATTACGACACATTAATAAAATGATCAAAAATAGAATGATATTAATAGTTTAATGATTGATATAAAACATTTGAAAGTTTAGGAATCAATTTAGAAATGTTATATTTTGAAGTTTGGCATAAAATATTTTAAAATTAGAGACTAATTTAGAATATAATCATAATTTAGGAACCTCCGGAGAAATGAACTCCCAATATAATAGTAAAAATAGACTTAATTTTTTTTGTCAATTATATTATTAGTGTTTATGAAACTTATCTATTTTATTCTAAAATTATTATAAATATTAGAAAAATTGATCGATCAGATATTATCTTGATTCTGTTTAATCTCTACAATTTTTATTTAATCTATCATCATATATTTTAGATAGGATTATCATCTGTATATTTATATCAGGGCGAACAGGTTTGTCTATCTTCAACATATGTACATATGTTAGAACAGTCTGAATTTTTTATTTTGCTATAATATTTTAATTATCCTTTTTTATACCTTGATAATATATGAACAAACCGCAGTTTATCAAAACCCGATCTGAGCTCGGTAGAGCGGAGGATTGAAGTGAGTAGCCCTCAGGGGTGTTTGGTTCAAGGATTGTGGGATTCCCATGGGATGGGAATCCCACATTGCCATGTTTGGTTGGCCGGGAATCTCATTCCCGGTAATGTTTTATTACCAATAGTAGATTTTTGGTGTATTATCGGGAATGTCATTACCTCCCTTCCCTTAGGTATTGTAACATTACCGGCGTTTTGGACTAAAATGCCCTTAAATTTTTCAAAAATATCATTCTTCTATCATTGAATAATAAAAATTCTACGAAGGTTAAATTACAAATTTATCCTTAAATTATTTTAGATTTACAAAAAAAATTCTATAATTAAAATTTTATATGAAGTTCAGGGATTAAAAAAATTACCCTTTCATTAAATATTTTTTATATTTTTTATTTTGTAAAAATATTTATATAAATATTATGAATTTAATTTTTTAAAGAAAATATATAAATATTTTACAATTTGTAATATTATACAAAATATAATAAGGACAATTTGGTCAAATATACATTCCAATAATCTTTTATTCATTTACCAAACACGGTAATCTTACATTCCTGCTAAACCAACCAAACAAAAAATACAACATTCCCAGTAATCCTATTCCCTGGTAATCTTTTATTCCCACTGGTAATCTTACATTCCGTGAACCAAACGCACCCTTAGTGTAATCCTTAGGTCCCTGGTTCAAATTCGACAGGTAGGTAAAAAATATTTTACATTGATTTATGATCGTTGGATGAATAAAAAAAATACGTTTTGAATGACTGAAAATAGACAGCTGAGATTAAGAGTAAAAAATAAAAAGATATTCATTAAAAAAAAATAAGTGTAAAACTAAAATTCTTTTACTAAGTGAATTTTAACTCACATGTATATATATAATTGTCGAACTAAACACACAATTCTATTAAAACTTAATAATATTATCTTTGAACCTATCAAGTAGAAATTGTCAAAATTGAAAGTATAATGGGTTTATCGACACGAATCTCATGGTTAAGTGGTCATTCGAGTAGTTTACCTAAAAAAGTTTAATATGTTTTAAAAGATCATGAGAACATTTTAGAAGGTCATGAGTATTCATTGTTTTAGTACGAACTAACTTATTTTAGTGGTTAAAAGAATTGTTGTTGTTCCTAGAGATCATAAATTCGAGCACCGGTAACTGCAAAGGTAATTGAGTATTCATTGTCAAATGATAATTTTTTTTGTAACTAGTATAATAAATTATTTAAAATAGAATGATCTTAATGGTTTGAGGATTGATTCTCAATTTAAAATTCCAAAGTATTTATTCTACTGAAGGCCGTTTCTTCTAAACACTGAGTCGTTAAGCATCAATATACATTATTTTTAAAAGTACTATGAAGTAGTTAATAAATTTGAGGCCAAACATGAATGCATCATTCCTTTAAATGATAATATACAAAATTAAACTAATATCGTTGGCCCCAAAATTAGAATAAAATAAATGCTATAGTATTCCTGAAACTCGTTAAATGAGATATTAATTTTTATTGATTTTGTTCATGTGAGTTTCGTGAATCATATTGTTTTAATATATTTGACGGAACTCGTCATGATCTCTTAACGTGTTTTTTTTGGTGAACAAAAGAAATAAGCTGCAATAGATTAAGCTTCTATTGTCAAAATGCAGTCGGCAGCTTCCTGTTGAACTAATTCAACCACTTCCCGCGGTAGAACGGAGAATACCTTATGAACCTCTCCTCTTGTTATGGCAATCTTAGCTAGTCGATCTGCCACCTTATTTGTAGTCCGGCTTATATGCCTCAAAATAATATTCCAATCTCGGTTAATCAACTCAAAAACACGATCAAGAAGTGTAAAAATCGAGCCCCTCTTAGAGTTTACCTTTAGCATTCAGACAGCCTCCAAACTATCTGCTTCCACTATGATTTGCCTTTCTCCTAGGTTCCAAGCATGAGAGAGATCTTCATGGATACCCTATAATTCTGCTTCAACTATGGAACAAACTCCGACCACTTTAGAAAATCCAAACATCCAACCACCATTCGAGGATCGAATGACGCCTCCACATGACGCTAATCCATTTTCTACGTTACGAGACCCATCCGTATTAACCTTACACCAATTATGAGGAGGCGGATGCCAAATATCGGACATAGTAGAGGAACGATGAGAAGGCTGGAACATTGACAAAGCTGAATCCAATGCACGGGTAGCTTCAAGAGTGAGGCGCCTACTCTTTTCTAGTACATACTCATGCTCAAAATAATCTGGATCAAACAATCTTCTATTCCGGTTCTTCCAGATCAACCAAAGAATCGAACCAAACAATAAGTCCCAATCACCTTCTTCACGTGCATAAAACCCCGGAGAAGCGATGTTAATTTGCATCCAATCTCTGAAATCCCTTGGGAAACAATCCGCTAACTTCTCCGTTTTAATTAATGATGACCAAATAGCCATAGCCATATGACACTGACGAAAGAGATGATCTGATGTTTCGCCTGACTGTCAGTAGATTCCACAGCTGTTAAATGTGGCCATATGTCGTCTGACTCGCGCCGCATTAGTAAGTAGTTGATCATTCGCTAGTAACCATAAAAAGATTTTAATTCGCTGTAATCCTCAATACTTTGATATCACCTACCACACTTTATGCGAATCATCATTCAAAATTCCCCGCCTCAACTCGTAAGCTGATTTAACTTGTTTTTCAT